TCAGGAGAATTCAAATCCTGCACCCTGTGGCGTGTAGAGGGACCCTGACCTTGCTGACATCCACAAAAAAAGCAGCCAAACAAAAAAAAATTCCTCCACACCCACACTGCTGACTTCCCCCATTTTTATGCAAATCAATATTAAGAGCTCCTTGAGTTCGGTTTATGTACAGACATATACAAATAGGAAATAGGTCCATATTTACATCATTAAGTTAATTAAGCTCTGTAAAAAAAAACCCCAACAGCTTCCAAACCAGTGTCCTATGTACAGACAGCAGAGGTGAGCTCACGTCCTTGGCGCGGTCACATTGACAGTGTAATGTACACTAACCATTACCCCGGTCCCAGGTGATCGACCCCACATGGGCCAGGCACAGACGAGCAGCAGGCACGAGTGTGACGAGCAAAGGGACCCCGCTCCGGGCTCTTCTGCTCTCCAGGACCCGGCAGGGAATAGTGCCTGTTTCCTGTGAGGCACACAGGTACCCCAGGGTCAATTTGTGTAATGTACACTACCAGCGCTCTGTGGATCCCGTGGAAGGCACAAGACCAGCACAGATCTCGTGTTCGAGGTGGTGGATGCTCTGCACGGCTTCTCCCAGGCGCATCTCGATGGTGCACACCTACAGCAGCACGAGGCTGGTCCAGCCCTGGAGGGGCCGAGTCCTTCAGAGAGCCCCGGTGTGAGAGAACGGACCCAGCCGGGGTCACACGATGCTGGCCAGTTCTGTGTTGTCCGACTCCGAGCTGCTGTTGCTCTCCTCCCTGGGGAAAAGGGTTGGAGAGGAAGCATGGAGTGAACCACGGAGCAAGCCCTGCCTCCGAGCAGACCTCTGCCTTGGAGCACAGGAGGCTCCGAAAGGCTGGAGAATGGGCGGCACCGCCTCGTGCAGTCCCCAGACGAGTTCCCTTTAGCAACTGGGGCGGGTTCCCCGTTCATCTCAAACACCTCACGCCATCTCTTTGGAAGCCAGGATTAGGAAAACAAGCCAGCCCTTCCCTCACTCCACCACCCACAGATCCTGGAGGATTCCTGGACAAGTCACAGTGTGTCCCAACCCGTCTGGGCCTGACCCTGCCCCCACAAACCACGCTGGCACGCCGTGCTTGCTACCTCCACAGCACAAGCTAACACTCACCTTAAGTCCTGCAGGGCTTTCTTGTTTTTCCTCCGTTTCTCCTCATCAATGGGGTACAGCTTGAACAGGAGCAGACCCAGCAGGATCAGCCCCACCGGCACGGCTGACACCAGCATCTTCAGGGTGAAGTGTACCTCGCTGGGCTGGGAGCAGCCCCGGGTTTGGTACCCAGCAAAGCTGTGGACAGAAAAAGACCTTCAGGCAAAGGAAACCGAGTTTGTGGGAAACAAACCTGTCCCTGCAGGCAGAGGTTTGTGGAGCCACAGCTGGATTTAGACTCCCCCACCTCCCTCCCAGCCCTTGGGAAGTGGGGATGCCTGGATGCAGAGGCACCAGACTGGCCTTCCTCCCTCTTCCTCCTCAGCTCCCACACAATAACTCACTCTAAGCTGAGTGTGGAGATGCCCAGGGAAACCCCAGAGGTGAACTTGGTAAAGAAGACATAGAAGGAGAAGAAGATGGCTTCATGGCCATGGGAGTCAGGGTGCTGCAGCTTGAAGTCGTCTATGACATCTGGGAGCATGGACCTGTGTGGAGAGTGGAATGGTGAGCACTAGGACAGAGCCAACACAGCACCTCCTCTCCCTGCTCAGAGGATTTCCCACCAAGAGCCCCATCTTGGGCTGAAAACACTGCAAGAAACCCAAGGGTTTCTAACCACCCCAGCAGCATCTGCCCAGCTCTTGGGGTGCAGTGCTGAGAGCACCAGGACCTCACACTCACCAGGGCAGGAGGAAGGCGGCTGCGACGCTGATCCCAGCTGCAATGGCCACGATGTAGGTGACGATGAGGTTACTGTCCAGGACAGCCACCAGGATGAGGAAGGGGATGGCAGACTGGATAGGGGACAGAAACCAGCTCATGTCAGCAGTGCCTGACCCAGACTCCTTGACTTCTCCCCTTCCCTCCCACCCATGCCAGCCCTCCAACCACAGGGACAGCTGGGGCAGCAGCAGCGCAGCCTTCTGGAGCCCTGCAGTGGCCGTTTCTGCTGCCCTTGGCCACATCCACGACAGCACAAATAGCAGGATGAGGGACAAGCACCAAATCAGCAGCAGCAGCTCCTGCCCAGCTCCAGGTCCTCTCAGGGGGACACAGCTCTGCTCACCCAACATGGAAAACACCATCCCCTGCGCTTGAGGGGACCCACTCACCGAGATGCCCACGTAGACAGCAGTCTTCTTCCCAAAGCGGGTAAGGAACCACTGCCAGAGGGGAATGGTCAAGGTGGCTGAGAGCTATGGGAAGAGGAGGAGATCACGGTGTCACTCTGTGGGAAAAGCTCTTCCCAGCAAGGAGCAGCTGCTGGGCACAGCCTCCCCCCATCATATTTCAGCTTTTTCCAGCACTTCTGATTTCCACACGCTCCCGGGGCTGGCAGCCAGCCACTGCCTGCTCTGCCCTCACCCCATCCCTCGCCTGCTCCGCTCCCAGGAAGGGGAGCTCGCAATTGGAGCGGGCGCATGGGGCCACCTCCTCCCCCGCTGTGGAGCACCCTGGCACCCACTTAAGGCTCTCAGCAGGTGCCAGCACACACCTGCCCAAACAAAGGGAGGGCCCATCTCAGGGAAGGGACCTGATCTTGTCACTGCTGCCTGCACACAGCATGGCCAAGAGCCAGGCTCTGCGAGGAGGGGACCTCAGCACCTTGGACCTCTCCACCCCATTGAGCAGGGAGGCTGGGAAGGGCTCTCAAGGAGCTGTTTTGCTCCATCTTCCTGGCAGTAAACACTGAGATGTTTTTCTCAAGGCAGGGGGGGAAGGGAGATAAGTGGCAGGATTTGGACAAAAGGCCCCCACGGCTCCTGGTCTCCCCTGTCTCTGGCCGCCTTCACATGGGAACAAAGGCTTCGCTGTTCCTGCCAACCGGCCTGGACTTTACAGGACATTTGACAGCTCCTTCTCTCTCCCCTCCTCCCAGGGGACCTGCGGTCACTGTCCCTGCAACGGCCTATTGCAGCCCTGCAGCCTCCCTCCCCTCGGCCCATGGAGCACCCATCCCATGCCAGCTAGTGGGGAGGACCCAGGGGATCCCACAGCACCCATCCCACCACAGTCCCAGCCTCAAGAGGCTTCAGGACGGGGCCGTACGCACCATGATGGCCAGGAGGATGTTCTGGAACTCGTTGCGGAAGCCCAGGGTGTAGGTGCAGAAGAGGGCGAAGTTGCCCTCCAGCAGCTGCAGAGGAGGCAGACAGCGGTTAGGGGGGGAATGGGCAGCACAGCCACCCCAGAGGCACGTGCTTCTCCTCACAAGGCTGCGTCCAAAGCACGAGAAAGGGAAGAAAGCAGCCATTCACCGACCCATCTGAGGGCATGAGGCCACATCCTCTGCCTGGGGCAGCTCCGGCTCATTGATCTACCACCTCACATGCTCCCAGCCCACAGGGATCCTATGCGGGCCCTATGCTGCTCATCCCCCCGCCATCTCCAAGCCATGCTGCTGTCATTCCCTCTCCCCCATCCTCCAAGGCCGGCTGTGCTTACCATGAAGGCCAGCGAGGTGAAGAGGAAGCCGGCGATGAGCTTGATGTAGGCACTGTGGTTCATCACCAGCTTCAGCCCCTGGAAGAAGGAGCCAGGCTTGTCCGACTGGAGCTCAGAGGACTCTGGGGAACAGAGCAAATCAGCCCATCGTTAGACCTGCTGAAACAGCACCCTTGGGTGCAAGGGGTGCAGCAGTGCCCCACACCACTGCTGAGCACCCTGCATGAACCCCTGCCTGTCTACAGCATCACCCCCCAAGGGAGTCAGGGCAATGCCCGCAGGGACCTCACGCAGGGGTCCCGCAGACCCAGGAGGGGAAAAGATGCCCTGGCTTTGCCCAGGATAAGCAGTGTTGGCTTCAAAGCAGAGGGAGGGAAGGACAGAAGCTACTGGACTTTGGCTATCACCTCATCCCGGGTGCCATAGCTGGCACCAGCAACCTTGGCCAGCCAAAACCACGCGAGATAAGGTTTATCTCCCACAGAGCAGAGAGCTAAGTCCTCAGGGCTGTGCTGTAACGTACCCTGGAGATGCTCTCGCCTCCTGCCCGCAGCACTGCCCTTCTGCAGCGCCCTCCCCAGGCCCTCACACCCAGACCTCAGCTCCAGCTGCTGCCCTGCTCTGGGGCTTGACCCACAGATGAGGGGCCGAGGGCTCAGCCAGGCTCCCAAGGAGCCCCTGGCAGGAGCTGCAGCATTTCCACGAGTTCAGAGCCTTCCAGCACGTCTGAAGCCTCACCTCTCTTCTCCCGCACGCCCACCGACAGGATCACAGCGCAGAGGATGTAGAGTCCCCCGATGACCCCCGCAGCGATCATGTAGGCATTTCTCTGTGCAAGAAAGAGGGGTTGATGGAGAGGGGAGCTCATCCCAGGAGCCGCCCAGTAAAAAAGGCAATGGGGAATCAGTGGCAGGGGAATCATCCTTCCCAGCTTACCGTGTCTGTGAGCGACCCAGTGTCACGGGTCATGTTCACGTCCTCCATGGCCACCGAGGAGTTGGGTTTGCCGATAAAGAGAGGGCTCTCGATGCAGGGAGGAACCACCTTGCCCACGATCTGGCCCTGGATGGCAGTGCCCAGCACAGTGCCCAGCACTTCCACTGTCATACCTGGAGGGAGAGGCCAGTGGCACTGAGCACAGCCCTTGGGCACCCAGGGCATGGCTGCAAAAGCTTTCTGCACAGCAGAGCCTCCCCAGCTGCGATTCGCTGCCCTTCACCAGAGAGAGAAGTCAGCTCAGCTCTCCTACAAGATCACCAAGTGATAAAGCCGCAGGGAAGGAGAGTGTCTACCAGGGAAACTGAGGCAAGGAGAGAGGCCAAGACCTGGCCATGCTGCTCCCACTGCTGCATGACAAAGCAGAAGGAAAAACTCAGGAGATCAGCACAGCTCCCACCAGACAAAGGTGCCTGCTGGAGGGGACAGGGAAGAGGAATGAGAAGAACTCAAACAGCTGCAATTCAAGCCCTGAATGATGCCCATCACACACCACCCTTGGGGTAGGTGGGATCAAAGGCATTTGGAGGAGGACCATGCCCCAGCGAGAGCTGCAGCAAAGGAGCTGAGCACCGGCTGCCCCCGGCCATGGCGAGGAAGGGAAGGAAACGCTCTTACGGTAGGCAGTGGCCGAGTCCCGCTCGCTCTGCTCCCTGCTGATGAACATGGTCAGCGCCGAGTAGGGCACGTGGAAACACTGCAACGGCATAAGAATTAGCTCAGGGATGGGAGCCTACTCCTCTGTAGCTCAGCGAGGTGAAGGCAGGGATTCATCCTCTCCACCAGCCCTGGTGTGTGCAGAGCCCAACTCACCGTCACAAGGGTCTGGAAGATGCAGTAGAAGATGAGGTACCACATCACTTGGCCTCTGGAGATGTCCGGCACAAACCAGATGAGGAAGTAGGAGATGACAGCGAACGGGGTGGAGAAGATGATCCTTTGGGAAGACACCGCGTTAGCCTCGCAAGCACACAGCGCCTGGGTAACCCCACCAGCCTGGCTCTCCCTGCTGCCACACGTCCAGTGGGGTTCAGGCATCTGATTTGAGGGGCTCCTGGATTGCCCCAGGGCAGCCCACCCTATTCCAACACATGGCCAGGAAGTGATTGCCACAGGGTGATTCTGACCAGGCTGGAGACATCATCCCAGGTCTCCCAGGGTGGGAAGGGGAAGACCTGACTCAGACTTACAGGGAAGAGCTTGATTTACAAAAACAGACATCCCTGCTTTAATGGAAGCAATTTATCTGCTCCTGCCCTCAGCCTCCACTCCCAGCCCCGACCTCTCCCCCAGGCAGCACTGCTGTGTGCTCAGCAGGATGCAATCACCTCCCTCGTCCCAGCAGGGTCTGGGGAGCAGCCAGGCCCAGCAGCCAAACTCCTCTCACCAGCTTGGCTGTGCTGCCAGCCCCTCCTCCCAAGCCCTGGTCCTGGGGTCACCCCCAGGAAGGGGACAAGCCACCAGCCAGCAGCAGGCTGGCTCCTTCTTTCACCCCTGCCCGGCACAGGGACACAGGACACGGCGCAACAGAGGATCGGAGGGGATTGCTCAAGTGCTGAGCCTTGGCAGTGCTCGCAGTGGGACCGGCCAGCGAGGGTGATCGCAGCAAGAAGCCTCCCAAAGCATCTGCTTCATCCAGCTCCTCTCACAACCCTCGTCCTGCTGCAACGCAGATGGGGACAGCTCTACCCTGCACCAGCAGCCAAAGGACACCACGAGCACCCAGGTTCCCCCATCACTCCAAAGGGCACAGGAGGAATTCCTCCTCCTAGAAGAAAGCAATCCAGCTGTTGAGGTTACAGCCACATCTGTTTAGGAGACTGGTTTTGCTTAGGGTTTGCAAGCACCCTGAGCTCCACAAGCTGCAGGACAGAGGCCGTGTCCTGGGGTGAAACCAGCAGAACCGGACACAGACAGAGCCATGCACAGTCAGGGCTGGCCCTCTGCCACTCCACTGCCAGGGAACAGCGAGATCTTTCCGTCCCGGCTGACACACAGGACGCAGAGTTTAAATTTAAAGTTGGGGGGTGGGAGGAGGAAGCGAGAAACCGAATCTCCATGGATGGAGCGCGGCAGAGGCATCGCACGAGACCCAACACTTGCACATTTTTCCGAGCACACGTCACCCTGGCGGATGGAGGAAAGGGGCGAGCCGGCTGCAGCCCCTCCTCTCCCGCGCCGATTGCCTCACGCATCTGGGGAGCCGAGGGAAATTTCGAGCGAGTCACC